TTATATATTTTATGGATACATATATATAAATATATATATATAATAGATGCATTTTTCGCGCCGTTGCCGCTGCAGCATTTTTCTAGCAGAACCAGTAGCACTATAATTTTCGAACATTATTAGGTAATCATGAAACAAATTTTTAAAAATTATCAATTTTCAATTAAACTGCATACTTAATAAAGCACTTTTCTAAATAAGATTTTAAGCAAATTATTTGCGATTCTTGACGATGCTTTTCATTTTCCAAAACAACTTTTTTACTCCTACTTTTTGAAGTTTTTGCTACTCTGGTAAAATTGGCTAATTTTATTTTAAATTTGTTATTGTTGCTGTACTGTTGCTTTCTTTCTTTCATTCATGCTTTTTTGCGCTTGAGAAACAGATTTCTAACAACTGTGTATGTATTTCTAATTTTAATCAGTAACTTTTGCTGCAAAAAAATAAAATAAAATTTCAGGTTTTCAAAAAAACCACGAAAAACCAAGAAAGATGACGCTTTAAAGTGAACGACAATTCAAACGTTGTAACACTAATGTACTGAAGTATATTTTAACGAAATTCTAAAGTACGCTGCAGGAAAGGAGACAAGAAAAAGGAATAAAAAATAAACCTTGAAAACAAGCTAGATGCAACTTTGGGAATTACGAAGACGTTTTTTCCGAGTTAAGACTATCATTGGTGATCCGTTAGAAACCCGGCTGCAACGATGTCTTACCACCACAGATATTACTTTGCTTGGTATTGGGCACATGATCGGCGCTGGGATTTATGTTCTGACTGGTAACCGTTTACATTTTGATCACAGCTTGTTTGTTATATTGTTTAACGTTCTCTAAAAGCTTGATGAGACCTAGTGTAGTATGTCAGAAGCCTTACTGACAGCATTTTGACCATTAAACCTCTTCTGTCAAAACTATCAATCTGGTACGATTTAGAACCGTAATCAAGCATTCAGGTTCTGTGGTACTTCATAGTGCTGGACCATCAATTATTCTATCATTTGCATTGGCTGGTGTAGCATCATTATTAGCAGCGTTATGTTATGCAGAATTTGGCTCTAGGTTATTCTTACTGGTATATTTATAATA